ACCAAAGAGTAAGCTGCACTATCATGACCGTTGTCACAAATATCCACTTTAATTCCTTTTTCTATGATAGGCTTCATCATTTCAAACAAAAGTAGACAATTTTGGTCCTTCCACACAAGTCCTTAAAGGTTTTACTGCTCCACTCTGACTAGTAATGTCCTGTAAACTTGAGGAGTGAGAACTGTCCTCTGAGACTGTAACTCTCTTCTGTGGCATACTATTCAACAATGGCTTACCAGTTGCAACTACAGGCTTCTTGACCACACCATTATCGTCACACAATTCGGAGTCAGGCCTGGAGTTTACATTTAGCTTGTCACTGAACTTGCTCACTGATTCACAGTTCACCTTTGTATGCACCTCTTGCAAACGTGTAAAACACAACCATGTTTGTCTTGCATCTTGTAACTTATCTGTTGAGGGTGTCCCAAGAAAGCTATAATGCCCACCTAGTGTATATGGATTACTAGACACCACACAGTTTTATCGATATCCTCTTCTCTGCGACCCTTTCGTCATACATGTTTGCGTTTTGCTCTCAGACTGCTCTATTCTAGGGGTGGGATGCAATATACTGGCAAACTTCCTCATAGCTTGGTTGACAATATCTTTAACCAGAATATCACAGACTTTGGCTCGCTACCTTCATCCTCTATACAAGAGCTTACCTTCACCCACTTCCTTTGAAGTCGAGTAGGTAGGCGTCTCGCTATTACCTCTGGGACGAATCTTGAGTTCAGTAAGTTTATACAATTCATCGAAATCAGCGTATTCTTGTAAGTCATCAGATCACCCATAAACTCAGATAGTGCCTTGGAGTCACCTTGTAATTGACCACCATTACCCTTATCAGCCTCAAATAGTTTCCTTACAATCATCGAAGGTCTTCCGAATCTTTGACGCAGTATACTCATAGCCTCAGAGTATCCTCAGTTAGGGGCATGAACTTAAAGCACTGTATAGCTCTTGAAGCAACTCCAGTGCAGCACCCGACCAAATACATCAACTTCATTTCATCATTTAATAAAAAACTACTCCAAATGATTTCAAACTCCTTTGCAAACTGTGGGTAGTCAGCTGTGTTTCCGTCGAAACACCGAGGTTTAAATTTAGGCCTATTATCCCTAGACTGCGAAACATGAACAACAAACTCATTGTACTGAGCATCATACGTAACATTACAATTAACAAGCAACTCAGTATTACTTACTTTCTTGCTCGCTTCCAAGACGCTTCGTCCCTTCTTTGACCCAGGCATCATTGAACTTGACCGAAATTCCAGAAATTTTCCAGGGAATACTTGTTCAAAGAAGACTGGCAGACACCAGGAAAGACGGACGGAAACTGTCCAAACACTATCAGAAACTGTCACTCAAGTCTCATAAACTGTCAGTGTCTAGCTCTTACTACCCTGGACCTCACGCTGTCCCTCGAAGCCTTTCTGAAACAATTTGTAATAACCAACGCTAAAAACCAGAACACAGATTGGCGACTCGAGGATCCTTTATTCTTACGCCAACATATAACCAAGAATAAGGTTATTGCTAACAAGGTCTAAGAATAAATGCTACAACAATAAATCACTATATTACTTCTTATAATTTTTAATCTTCCACTGAACAGCGAACGATGAGACGATGACTGCTGGATTGATGACTCCCGCGAAAATTATAGGGAAGTTGGGTTTGAGCAAACAACCATGAATTGATCGTTCAATCTTCAATTATATTAACAAGTATCATAGAAGAATTATATTCACAGAAAGACTTATGAATATCTATCTGCAAGTTATGCCAATTAACTTACATGAATTACCGAAAATAGCAGGTCTTATTTAAGAAATAAATGATGATCTTATGTGAAACCTTCTAAGAATCAAGTTATTTAAGCTGCTTCAACGAGTTCGAGCTCGTTTCCGGTCGGGTTCAACCAGAAATATCACTCGTGATATAGGTGTGGATATGAATTCTCCAAAAACTGGACTTTGCCCACCTTACTTGCTGGCTATTCCGACTGTTCCAGTAAACCTGTTGGCCAGGCTCCTCTTAACATCGCTCCAACAAGGGAACGTAGAATATACAGCTAGGAATTTCATGGCATCTATTCACTGTGTTATAAACACGAAGATATCATTAGGTAGTTGCGTATAGTACCTGTGAAATTTCTCATATCTGAGATGTATTAATATGGGTGCAATTCAAAAAGAGAGTGACATTTGTTACGCTGTGGATTATTTTGATGACTGTTGTGGTGAGCACTTTAATACCTTATTTATTTGCTAAAGAGGTAGTAATGTACACATTTTGTGAATATTGTAATGTTTTTGCATCAGAGCACAGTCAAAGGGTTTTCGTTTTTTTGTGGTACTACTCTTATTTGGTGGTTAGATTATTCAGCTCTTCCATCTACTGATTTTCATCACGGCAAATGAGCGTAAATGTGAGGGACCAAACGGCTACTTTCCGATGGGCTGTGCAATGTGGAAATTGCAATTAATTATCCCATAGATTTCCAATTTCTCACATTTCTTAAACTCGTTTTGTCGCACGATAAAACTGGAAGTGAGGTCAGGAGTGGTGTGATTTGTGCGCATCAAAACATGTAGTAAATCCTGCAATCATGCCACAAATTAGTGTCTCTGAATATTTCGGGGATATATATATATATATATACGTAAGTACATATTGTTGGTGATTTAACGGCCCTTAGCACTGCTCCAGCTAATGAAATGAGTATGTAATAATAACTTCCTTCCAAGCATGTATTCGGGTAAGAACTATGTATAGTTTCCACAGACCCACAACACAATGCAGTGGCCACGAACTTATTTTATAGACTCCAGTAGTTCATGATAATACTGCGTGACCAGTCTTGCCACTGACTTAGCGAGGCAAAGGAGTGCGTCGGCTGGGGATCGAACCTCGGACTACCTGCGTGGTCGGCGAATACTCTGTCCTTGTGCCACCAACACACCAAACAAACTGATTGCTGAAGATGAATTGTACATAGTTCAAGTGAACTTATTCTCTTATGTGACCCCTTACACTTTCCTAGTAGCCTCTGTATCAGCGGTGAATCAGGATCTCAGTGCCAGCAGAGGTCTTCATTCAAAAGGCGACTACACTGCTGATACCTGAGAAGCTGACAAAAACAAGATTAATCATTAAGTTGGGATCTGATGACGCTGTCGCTGACAAAACTGAGGCTAGTAATCACACTAACGATTAAAGTCATACAGCGAATTCCCAGCAACCGAACTTATTTGTCTCAATAACCGCTTTGCCTGCGTCGTCAGAAACACGTGATTCATCGTAGGCTGCTGCATTCACCCGTCGAGACCACGTCTCCTGGATGTGGTTAGATGTGTATTTTCTCCCTATATACATGTACCAACATATCTTAGGACGTACTGGATCTGACATTTACACATCGGAAAGACGACAGAAATAGCAACAAATACAATCAACCAATAAAAGGTAGCGATGAGAGTGGAGAACCATAACTAGCCGGTGGAGGCACTGATCAGCTTCTCACGGACATTATGCTGCTGAAGGATTCAATTGGTAGGAGGTGAAAATTGAATGGAAAATAAGGATAAAAACCTTTGGGGCAATGTTTTCGTCGAAATTAGTAAAACACCCAATAAAATATCACTCTAGGGCCTATCGTGTAAACTGGTGGTATTCGGATTGGATATGGGCCTGCACGTGGTATAAAACAAGGAGTAAGTGCGAGAAGAGTAATCCCTAAGTGAGAGCCAGTTTGATCTGGGTGCCACAATACATCATTCTAGACCGTTTTCTATACCGAATAGATATCAGCGAATCACCCCTAACTCTAAATTCACCATTATTTGTGTGTCGGTGACACAGCGGTTAGGACTCTCACCGACCATGCACATGGTCCGAAGTTCGATCCCCTGCCGACGCACACCTGACAAGATTTGGGCTACCGATATCCATGCTGAAAATTCCATACTTGTACCGAAAATACAGTGTGGAATCAAGCTGTAATCAAAAATCGAAAAATCAAATTATTATATGCAGATGACAGTAAGATTTAGGGGATGAATAATTACAGCGAGAATCAGTGAGTCCATGTAAGAGAATGATCAAATCGCCACAGTCTGGTAACCATTTGCAGTAAGAATGCAGCAATTCATCTAAACTGGCTGTCTTACTTGGAGTCATTCTTGGGAAGAATAGAGTTTCCTTCCTCAAAGGAACTAATAGATTTAATAACCGTTGCCAGCCACAACCTGCAGTCCCCTGCATAGCGCATTTCAAGCACAGCTGAAGCTTTCACAGTAGTGAGTTCATATAATAATAAATTTTGGTCACTTTGCTCATTTTAGATGTAGATAAGACAGGCTGCTAGCCTATTCTTCAGGACACAAGAGCGAGTATTAAAAAAATACAAAGCGTAACCAGTAAGGTGATCAAAGTATTCCCACCTCCCCATAGAAAACGAAAACTGAAATCATTACTTTTTCTTTGCTTTAGGTGTACGAGTAGCCTTTGGTCATGTTGTAATGTATTAAATGGCAACTTAGATATCCTGTACTCTGATCTGTCGTTTCTCAATAATCCCCCTAAGAGATCATTATCAAAAAGCAATTAAACCGCAGCCAAATAGATCATTGTTAGAATTCCCATTGGGTGGTAAACAGCTGGAAGTCTTTCATGAATAAAGTGGTATCGGCACTTTAGGTGAACACTCTCGAAGAAAATTTAAACCTCAACCGGGAAATAAACTCTAGAGATTAACACCAGCTGCCTCTACTGTACTCTGGTGTCACCATAATGGTAGATCAGGCAATTGATACATGCCTTTTGTTTCTTCTGGCACCACCAGAAAAGAGGGATAACTTTAAATTTCTTTTCTCAAAACAATCTGTGAAAACTATGGGAAACTTCGATTAAGCTATCCCGTTGCATAAAGTTTGAAGCTTGAAGTTTGAAATCGTGAATTTGTTAAGTCAGTTGACTATCAGTAGCAATGTAAACTTAAGCGCTTTATTTGGATTTAACAGAACTAGGCTGCGCGAGAAGATGCCGAAATTGGTTGGTTATTTTGGTTGTTGTTATTGCTTAGGTCCCTGTTACTGTTGTTACGATGGACGCTCAGCTGGAGTTTTGTCTGAAAAATAATGCGTCTGGACGGCAGCTACTCTCTCAGGTGAGGTCGTTGTGAGAAATTAACACGAGGTTAGGTCTGCAATGCTCTAGGCATTAGAGAGATGTGGTATTTTGGTCTACAATATACAGATAGTGAAAACAGACCAATGTGGGTGAAAACGGACAAAAAGATACCCTTGACCCAGAAAGACAAAGATGGACGATACCGGTTTCTCTTCAAGGTAAAGTACTATCCCGAAGAGGTGTCCGAAGAACTCATTGAAGAAATCACCAGGTTATACTTTTATTACGACGTAAGTTTCCTTTCATGAGATTTTGAGTTGCTCCTAGGTTAAGGAGGATATCGTCAACGGAACTATCTATTGCCCTGCAGATACTGCACTGCTTCTAGCTTCGTACCAAGCCTTAATTCGCCATGGGAAATACGACCCAAGTGTCCACAATACAGGTTTTCTGAAAGTCGCCAGATATCTGCCGCCGAAGTAAGTCATTCCCAAGCAAAAGTAACTGAGTCCTCATAAATTTTAAAGTTGGTAGTGGGTGTGTTTTCATTTAGGTTCTTCAGTTATGTATTCGTATTCGTACAGAAGCATTATGATTGTTTGAATAATGGTTAGTGATCATATTATTAACTTTTGAACGCATTGCTAACACCCTAACACAGAGAAAGTCTTGATGTCTGCAGACCTCTTCTTAAGATTGGGGCCTTTCAGAATAGACAACAGATGCCTTACTTTACAAAACTAGCTGTCAATATGAAATAAGAGGATGTAGGTGATGAGCGTATCTAGATATTCCAGAACTGTCACGGTCAGAGTTTTGACCCCATGGTTTATGTGTGACAATTGGCTACACATTGAATAGCATCGCGCTTAAGTCGGGACTCACGCTGATGTTTTTTATCTTGCCTTGAATCTTGTTTATCACTCTTCACGTTTTTACTTTCCTTGATGCAGTGTGCGAGAACAGTACAATCTAACGGACGAAGAATGGGAAGCTAAAATAGTTAAATGCCATATATCCCACGGGGATATGTCGAAGGAAGATGCCATTATGGAGTATTTGAAAATAGCTCAAGATTTAGAAATGTGCGGAGTATCTTATTTTAAAATCAGAAATGCTAAGCAAACAGACCTGTGGCTGGGCGTTGATGCTTTGGGATTAAATATTTATGAGTATGGTAACCAGTAAGTTTTCCTTTCACGTGTATTTTCTTTGCAAAAAGCAGTTTTTGGTAGTACCATCTATTTTTACTTTCCACACTAATTAGTTCGTTGTATCATTCATAACCTAAGTTTGCACAGCCGATAGCTACCATTGGTCAATATATGTAAAACCTCATGCTTTTTGTCTTGGTCAACGAATCAGGAAATGAAATAGACTTTGATGTGAGTTAATACTGAAATCCATGTAGGGGACTAGACTTTTGTTGCAATATGTACGTTAATTATCGCATCCACTAAAACGATCGTGACCATTAACACAGTTCGTGCACATGACCTCAGTGGAATCTGAAGCATAAATTTAATAGCGCTTCAGTCGGACAGTAGGCATTTTGTCATACAAACACCACTTTTCTATGTATAGTTGGCTGTTTTCCCCGGACTTCTAAAAGCTTTTCAATGATACTTTTCTACCCCATAGGTTGACACCAAAAATAAGCTTTCCCTGGAATGAAATACAAAAATTGTCTTATTCGCGTAAAAAATTCAGTGTCAAAGCTGCCGAATCAGCGGGAAAGGTGAGTGCTTTATTTTTTTTGCAAGGTAAAAGTTATGTAGACATTTACATGACAGCGTAAACGTAAGATGAATCAGTGATCACAGACTCATATGATGTGTCCAGTGACTTGTTTCAGGTGGATCACCTTAGGTGCTAAGGACGGCTGTGCTCTCTCGCTGATATAAGTATGAAACTTGGGCATTGTGGTAGAGTATAACTTCATTATGGATAAGATTTTATCTCGATAAATGAAAATAAAATCTTATCCATGAAGGGGTTGCTATCTCTCTCTCTCTCTCTCTCTGAATCCTCATCCACTATATGTTTTAAACTCATGGGAAAATTATGGCATTTTAGCAAGCTACAAACCTACTTCAAGTAAGGACTTTTCATTCGTATGGGAATGTGCCAATTAAAATTACCTAACAGTCAAGTTTTACGGTTTCCACGGAATCCTGAGTTAGTGTTGCTGGTGTCAGGAGCTCACTAGTGGTATGGACCACTTGGAGACGAAATGATATTTTATCGCTAAACTGAATTTTGATTTCGATTGTTACGTGAAAGAGGATCAAACAAGTATACCCAACACGTTTTTCACTGACTTGTCACTTGCTTCTGTCGCCTGACAGGTATTTATTACTCACAGTCTAGCCTACCGTGGTATTTTATGTTGAAGGTCCTAGCCACAGAATTTACCTTTCTATTTTCACAGCAAGTTCGGACCTAGTAACATTTGAAACCGGAATTCTGCTGCGCAAGTTCTTGCTGCGGTCATGTATCTAGAGCAAGCCATGGAAAGTTTTCATATGGCACGGTTGTTTAGATTTTCTCATCTGCCACAAAAACTTCAAAATATTAGTCTCTTTGTAGCAAAGTCCTACTATCGCAGTGGGACTTTGCAAGTTATATCTGAAGACGTCCCCATAATCTCATTTATTCTTTTTTGATGTGGTCAGAACATTCTTGTCAATCCTCGGTGCAATGCTGTCTACCATTACATGGAGCATCAGTACGGATAACTGTACTCACCATGATGCATTAGTAATATCAACACCTTAACACTCCATTATCTATTTAACAGTGCACAGTCGAAAAAATCCATATCTGAGTGTTTTTTTGTAAATATGCCTTGTTTTCTCTATACTCAGCTATGATCCCATTTCTCACGAACGGAAATCATTTTACGTATTAGCACTTTTCTTAGGTGTTACCACGGTGCACTACTCTATTTACCACCGGTGACCATATAGTAAATAGTTGTAGCACCTTATAGATAGCATCATCTGCATTTCATTTTCACAACCTATTCCAGGGATTTACATTCTACACCGATAGCACCCACACGTGCAAGCTTATCCTGAATCTTTCCACTGGCAACCACAGATTGTATGCTGTTCGACGGCAGCCAGACTCCATCGAGGTGCAGCAAATGAAAGTCAAAGCCAGGGAGCGTCAAACTACACGCGAAGCTGAAAGGTATGTTTTAATTGTTGTCAAAAACGTAAGCAGTTGATATCATATCACGTAAATGCAGTCATAATGATAATTCGCTTTCTTTCATATGGGCTTTAAAGCTTATCGCCTGCTTTTGAATATGAAAAGCTAGCCAGACTAAAGCATAGGGCTTATATATAAAAATTTAAACAGACCATAATTTCTTAGGGTCCTAGTAAAGAATCGTAATGTCTACTACCAAAGTAATTGGAATTTGTGTTACTGCTTGTACAATTTAAGTTGAAACACAATTTAACATTATGTTGGTGTAAAGTTATCTGAAAGTATTGGTAGCTAGCAATACTCCACAGGAGAAATCAATAAAGCCCAGTTGCTTCGTGAACCACTATTGAATAGAAATTTTAATTTACCAGAAGCCCTTTACTTGTGGTGACACGGTACTTGTTGTACAAAGTATCAGCATATGTTCACATAACAAAACTACACATGCTGTTTAAATTACGGTGAAATAAGTAGATGTTTAGCGAATTTCCAAAGTAGTACTCCAACTTTATGCTTTGTACACCCAGATTATACAGAGACCTCAGATTTGGATTAGAGAAACTTATGAAATGGACATGTTTGCACATTAATTATTTTGGCAGTTCATATTACCTGGAAAATTTTCAACTTATGAAATCAGATTCTGTGCGTTTACCAAATGCATCTATGAAGAGTTGACAATAAGTAAGTAAACTAGTGCTTTGTAATCTAGTAAGGTTGAAGACTCAGTGACCACTTTTGGACGCATTAATTTACCTCTGTAGTTTAGATTTTTTAACGGAAATATATAAATAGTGATTGTATTAAACCTTTATGTTTCGTATTTGTTCATAAATGCTAGAGAAAAACTACGCGCTGAAAGACAAGCAAGAGAGGTGGTAGAAAAACGATTCCGTGAAATGGAACGTTTAATGCAAGAAAACGAGGAGACTTATGCACGTACCCAGTCAGTTTTAGAACAATATGAAGCCAAAGTTAATGAACTAAACTCACAATTGGAAGAGGAGAAACGTGCACGGCAACAACTTGAAGACTTACAACGTCACTTACAAGAGACAAATCGCCAGTTGGAAATGGTAATCAGATCCTCTTTTTTCCAACTTCAGTTTACATCGTATGCTTCCACCTGGTCCACTCGCTTAATCAAAAAGGCTTCCATCTAGTTTCCGTCTATTCATTCTATTATGAACTGCTTTTGTAAGAATAACTTGTTCGTGGCGGTGCATTACCAAATGTAGAGGTGTAAGAGTATCATTCGTTTGACGTTAACAATACAATTTATTGCTCATAATCAGGTAAAAGATAACTCCGCAGCTTTGAGATGGAGTGATGGAATCTTTTGAAATGTGAAGCAGCTGTTGTATATCGGTCAACTTTTGCTCATACTTGAGCATGCAGATTTCAGTGCGCTACCTTAATTCTTAGACTTTTCGAGGATTCTACGCTGAATTAGCAAGGTTCATCGCTGAATGTTCTAAATCGCCTGTTTGTGTTAACACTTGGGTGCACTATCGCTGGACATAACATCTACCGGTTTTTATTCTAACAATTTCCTGTGCACCTCTAGGTGTATTTACTAGAATACTTTTTGAATAACAAGACTTTCACATAACTTGTTCGAGATGTCAGTTTTTAATATTCGATTTTTCTGTACTTACAGCTCCGTTACCACAGTCCTAACGCAATTCAGGGCTATGCACGTGAGGATCGTAGGCCCTATAATAGCTCAGTAATAACTTACCTTAATAACAGCATTATCTGGTACGGGTTACAAGCCTCAAGTATACACTAGTTCCGCTAAGGTCTCTAATACGCTTTACTGACAAGCGCCAACCCGCACAACACCTCATTTCAGAGTTTCTTGCCAACTGTCTCCAAACATCTATACCCATTATTATTAGTTTAAGACGTTTACTGTAAGAAAGACTCCACCAAAACGTTTTTGAACGTGAAAGTTAATATGTCGAAATTGAAACCGCACTACTTTTTATAAATTACTACTACAGGAGACTGCAGAATCAATGGAGGAACGTCAGCGTCTTGCAGAAGAACGTGATGCGATCAGTGAACAAATCCGCGTACAACAACAATTACTTCGAGAACGAGAAGAGGAGAAACGCCTTTTCGAAAATGAACTTGCCCGTGTTCGTGCACAACATGAAGAAGAATTAAAGCGTTACAATGGAGAAAAACAGGATTCTGATGGTTAGCTGTTATATACACGGGTTGATTAATCACTTTTAGTGAACAAATTTTAGCTATTTAGAGGTACTGATTAACCTTCGAGAACAACGCGATGCATAGTTTCGGTGGAATGACAGATTGAGTTGCATCTGCAAGCAACCATTGGTTTTCTTGGTTTCCCCAGAATACCAGCGACAAGATGGTCGAGCAATGTATACATCGCAATTGTATCCCTCCACTTTAAAATGTGATCATATTGTAGTCCTCACTAAGTGGATTATGCGAACTATAAGTTTGACATCACCCCCCCCCTCCCGAAATATTGGTTGTCGCAATTCGTATTTTTTAAGAAATTTGATACCTTTGGACAGCAAATTGATCGGTCACATCTTCCCTCTCCAGAAGGCTTCTGAACACCACCAAAGGTAACAGTCTAAAACTGGTAGTATATATATAGCTAGTAAAAGCTATTTCAAACTATTCCGCTGGTTGACAAGAAACTATGCACTTAATGTAAGTGTAGAATTCTGGTAGAATGTAAATACACATTAGATAAGTTTATTTTAAATATCACAGCGATGCACTATTAATAATTGGATGACGTTTTAAGCATTAACTATTGCTCATGATTACATCAATTCAGTCATACTGCTCTACAATTTGCCTTATATATTTTTCTCTTTCTCACTGAATCTCTTCCCCTTGTTGTTTTTTGCCAATTTCTATATCTCTGGTATAGGCGTTGCGTCATTCCTACCGCACGTGTTCAGTGTTGAATCAATAAACAAAGATTCAATGACTAACCTCTCTCTCCACCTAACCATATCACATTTTAAATACGTTCACCATGTCCCACCCTATTTTGTAATTAATCCAAGTGAATGCAGTGTAATGGCTGAGCTTTTTTCTATGTTATTTATTATCTACTAGTTTGACTGCTATACGTAATCGACCTCACAATCATTGCAGAATGGTATTTGGTAAATTATATTTTCTGTTGCGGGTCCTTAAGCTGACGAAGTTTATCTCTGAGACAGTTGGTTTGTGTGAATGCCATAATCTTACATATGACCTCTGATGTCCCTTCTCTATACGGCAGTAATACGGAAGCTTTTATTCAGTTACGTCTAACCTACATATATATATATATATATATATATATATATATATATATATGAGACAAATTGTGAAACCGTGTGACTAAAATTGATATGATTATGGAAACGTCACCCAGTTGTTAAAACTGTCACTGTTATATTTAAAATAAACTTATGTAATATGAAACTGTGCACTTGTGAATAAAATCATCACTTGGAAGTGTTCCCAATGTCTCTGGTGAGGTGGGATGTGTGCACGATAAGTCTTACAATTCTTCACCCATTTCTCTATCCATTATACACAATTAATATTTGTTTTTTTTGTTGCTGTAGAACGTGAATTACAAGCTGTCGATGCCGTAGATGATGAATTGCGACAGTCCAAAGCTGATACTGATCAAGATCATGCTACACGATTGAAATTACTACGTCAAGACTTGAATGCTGTTCGTAATCGTCAAAAAATGCAGGCTGTTGACATTCACTACGAAGATAATGTCAGCAGAGGAATGGATAAGTATCGTACTTTAAGAGCCATCCGTGAGGGTAATACAAAAAAGAGAGTCGATCAGTTTGAATCAATGTAATGTTTGCGTGTGTGTGTGTCTGTTGATTATCATTATCATTTGTGTGCTAATACTCAGAAAAAAAAGAATAGTTATTAAGTAACCTTCTATAAAATATTGCAGATATTGTCGAGTCGAAAAAATTACTGCGTTGGAAAGCCTGATTCGTCCAGCTATTTGTTTTGCTTTAAATCATATTTTTTATTACCGTCAGTATTATTATTATTTATTAACGTTACTATCATTACCGTTATTATTATTATCTTTATTATTACTCTATATCTATCCTAAATAGCAATAAATTGAACAACGCATTCTGTTTTTGTACACCTAACTTTCCTGTTTACATAGGAAAGAACAGGAAATCTGGAATTATAGTAATTTTTTCAGGATTGTGTTTAGGACACACGTAAATTGTCGATTTCATTCCTTTTTTTCTGTTTCTTATATTCGGTGTTTGCTCAATTTTCGTGTTTTCCTACTACTGCTACTACTAATTTAATATTTGCTATTTTCTACCTTGACCTGGCAGTGTCTCAACACAGCAGAAACTCCGAATTTAATCCTTCATTCCATTAAAGATGAAAAGGTGTAGGTAGATGTAAGACCTGATAAACTAACCAACATTCATTGCAGAATTCTACTCCTAGAAATATAAATTTATATAAAGGTGGTACATAATGAATATTTCAGTGTCATATTTTATATTCATAAATACATTTCATACCTGCTTAAACGTTATATATATATAATGTATATATATATATATATATATGTATATATATATATATATATATATATTTACATACGTATTTCATACCCAGTCAAATTTGTAATTTATTTTAAAAAATATGAAGTAAATTTTATACTATGAGAAGTGTTATTGTCTCATCCAATGCACACCGTTAATACAATAGCGCGTGAAGCACTGAAGGGAAACACTATCTAGTAATGGATACAGACCTGCCTATCAGTGATTGTCTGCGTTTCTCATGTCTTTTGTTGCGAACAATTACTTTATAGATACACCAGTAAGTATGGGTGTTCGATTTGTTTTGAGTATGTTTCGTCGTTTGAAGTGTGTTAAAAGTTAAGGCGTTTGTGTAGTTTTAGCTACGGTTTGCGCTTAACCCATGCTGCAAAGAAAGAGTATGCACGTCAACTAATTTTCTCATTATTAGTGAACTAGTTTGATAACATCATTGATCAGACCTGTCTCTTATTGTGTTGTTTCACGGACGCCGATATCAAAAGGTATGTTTACTGTAAAAATCAGGCAGTCAATTAAATCGGTTTTGTCGAGCAGATGAAGAACTCACTTACGGCTTATAGATTTTCTTAGTATATCAAGGAATTAGTTATTTCACTGACCAGTATGACTCATAATGTGACCTGACGAAAGCATATTATGTATGGTCAATGTGTGTAGGGCCTGTGTTAACAGTGTTTTAATCAATTGACCGAAACATACTTCCAGTCGCCTTGATATGATTATGAGCAATAATTTGTGCCCGGGACGTCATCAGTTAATATTACTGTACATCTCTGTGTAATTTATTAAAATAAAATCTTATCTGTAATGGGGTTATACTCTACTACAGTGCCCGGGTTTTATACTACCAGTTGGATGTACTGAAAAGTCCGCTACAATAATAAATCACCTCAACGAAGCTTATGTTATTAGTAATAGAGCGAATAAACACTTCTTATACGTTTCCCTTTGTGGATTTGAATAAAGCGAGAATAACGGTCTGTACGGAGTAAGATGATGCGGTGATATGCAACACCAAGCGATTATTCAGACTCACTAGACAGACAGGCTGCAAAAGGCAAATGATAAACAAGATAATCTTCGACAAAAGCGGAACTTTACATAGCTCTTAGGACAGATGACTGGGACGTCGAAGGGATCATTTTGTGGGACAGTTGCACTGGCATACAGCCGCAATAATCAAGGCACTCTAATCGAACTCATTCATCCAGTCAGGTAAGAACTGACGGCGAGTTGTCATCCGAAGAGGTGTCCGACAGGGATGCTCGCTATCCCCATTTCTATTCAGTTTCATCATAGATGCACTAATGGAATTAACCCTAACTGCTGACTTCAGCGACTCAGGGATTGACTTGTTACCACCAGTGAATAATCTCGTTGATATAATCCTTCTAAGTGAAGACGCTGACAAAATGTAGAGTCTTCTGAACACGTTGAGCTGCAATCTGTGTAGGTTTGGCTTGTGATTCACTCCTGCTGTCGAATGTAAGATGATGCTACAGGGCTGAACTACAGTGACTCCTAGCCTGAAGATAGGGAGTGAATTGGTGGCTGAGAGTGTTGACCACTTGACTGATTTGGGGAGTTGCATCAGCCAACACGAGCGGGTTGATCGCTGACGAAATCTCAGCATGGATAAAGAAAACTAGTTTGGCATACGCCTACCAACTAACTCCATCTCTGGCGTCACTCGTCTTACTTCCCATGTGATTGTAATTGATCAATAACACTCGTATTATTATTTCTGAATGTATGTTATCTCATATTGAATTGTATTCAAATATCTAGTCAATTCCAAACATGTATATAGATTAAGGGAAAAAGTTGTGTAACTTTGATATAATTATGAGCAATAGTTTGTGCTCGAAATGTCATCAGTTAATATTACCCTATAACACTGTGATTTGTCAAAACAAAATCTCCATAATGGAGTTGTACTCTACCGCAGTCCTTAAGTTTTTTTCTTATATCAGTAATACACTGGTAGTTTTTCTCAAGCTCCAGAAATTAACTTCCTGAATCAAGGACCAGTAAATTGGCTCCATAGGGGCAGTAGAGGTGATGGACACTTTAGGTGGTGGTTAAACTGGGTACTTCGTGTTTCAGTTTCTAAATCACAGGTTGCTGTGTGGGAAATGTGAGCTGCAGTTTACCGGCACAAACGTCCTTTGAATAGATTACCTCAACTTGTCGGTTATTATTTCACTTTGCACATCACCTCTGAGTTGTAGGAGCTTCATCTTAACAGATAGATACAAAAGAATTCTTTTCTTCTCTATTGGCGAAGTCTTTCGTGATAAACCTTTCAGGATTTCTGATTTCTGTTAACTTGGCGAAGTTACCGTAAAGCATATTCTTTGTTCACTAATCAGTGTTTTGAAATGTTTGACACTATAGTTCAATTGGGAAGTCAGTACATCTCGAATGTGGCTACAGTTTGGTACAGGGAACCCCTTCTCTGCCTTTTTCCATTAGTTGTGAATCGTTTTTCAGTTAAGATTAGGGAAAATCCATGTGACTCGTACTCCACCAGGTTATGTTCCTCATTCTAGATAACGGTTGGATTTTCGTGACACATACGTGTTCACAACCATAATCATGTATCATCCTCAGTCTTACTTGAATTCTGTCGCTTGAATTGCAGCCGCTACCCTGACATCGGCCTTGCATACCGTAATGACAACAAGTCTGTCATAATATACCAGTGATGTTATTTGGATAGGGGTTAGAATGAAAACAGTCTTCACCATAGGATAAGTCGCTCACCCAAGTTTTTGGATCTGAAGGCGAAGTTGTGCTGTTTGCGGTAAACAATGTTACAGCAGTTAGGCGTTCTTCTTAAACGACCAGGTATGCTACCTCTCCGCCTCGAGGAGCGATTTTACAGAAGATCGGTCGTGAAGGTTGTACAAACCTATTGAATTGAATCTTTGTTTTTCCAAGTGGTCTAGTGGATAACGCTTTGGCGTTTGAAACTATGGGTACTGGGTTCGAGCCTCGGTGGGAACATCATCACTCACTGAGAAATGCAGGTACATCCAGCTGACGAGTCCCAAATAGGACGAAATGCGCATCCTGGATTCCACTGCTAGCCACCATCCACCAATTGTTGTACAAACCTAATCACCACAGCCGCCGTTTGTAGCCAGCTGTACAACAACTCTGGGAACTGCTACAGACAGGTAGTGTACGACTGGTCCCGAGCATTTGTCTTTCGGACTCCACGATCACTGAATACTAGTGCTCTTTCTGTTTCAGGTTTTTCAAGAAATCGAATTCTTAGGTCTGAACATGTGAGAGTAGTAACCGCCTACAAATTTTCATAAACATAAAAAGCTTTTCCAATCAGAAGGATCCTGTCAACTAAAATTATTAGTTCAGTAAGCTTTTTGTTGTGGACTGTGACGTAAGCAACTGTTAAATACATTCCATTGCACGAAGACATGCACTTATCCTTTCCGAGACCTAGTGCTCCATAATGTTATGATGGCCAAGCTGGGTTGTGAGAATAGTTTCTGGTCAATAAGAATACAAATAGTTTCTAAGCACATAAAAATATTTTCTCCTACTACTGTACTGTTTATAATTTCAGATACTACTATTCTTTTCTCAGGTCCTGAGTGAAACACGGGGGTTCACCCCCACATCAGTATTTAGTGCTATTCTCTGCCGCCAACTACACCTAGGTCCACGATTACCCACAGACTTCCGTTTCATCTTCATACGACCACATTGATTTCACACCCGGACGCCGAACTCTCCATTTCCCATTCGGGTTCCATTTAAGAGCCTAGTATGTTATGTCATTTGACTGTCCTCTCAACGTATGTGCAATCCATTTCCTTCCGTATATTTTTTGAGCGATAGATTAGTTCTCTACCAGAGTTCTCTGTTGCCTATTATTGCAAATAATTACTTGTTTGCTAAATATACTTCATTCCATTTTCTGAATAAAGAACGTTAATTAGTGTAATTCGTGGGTGTTCATATGTGTAATTCAGAGAGCTGTGGAATCACAACAATAGCCAAACCCTGCCTTGTACTAAGCCAAACGAAATTGCTTGGAAATGACGTGAAAGCTAGGAAAACAGTCACCTTGAACAGTTCACTTAGAGGATTTATTACTGATACGACTGAATAACTTTATGGAGTTATTTTATAATACAACTCCCTTACTGTTTCTAAACCATTATGTTTCCTACCATTTGGAAACTATGGCCATTTAGCTGTAATGGGCTTCTTCATCAACCTGGATAGCTTTTTGAATAAAGATGAGAGGAATAGATACGCTGTATGAAGTATTTTTCTTCTTCATTCACTGCGCCTTACAAAAACTGATAGATGAAATAGTTTTCGAGAAAAAATGGGACCTTAACATCAACAAACGTACATCTGGAACGTTGGGTAGGTTACACTAAAGAGCAGTCAAAATTGACGTACAACTGTCCATCATCTTAACTGAACATGAAAAGGATGAGAATACCAGTTTAGGTCAGAGATGTGTAAGTTATTCCTAGTTCGAAATGTAGCAAAGCAGAAGAACATGACAGTTTAACTCCAGAAGCATTTAAACGTGTTGGTTTAGAATTCGTTATTTTCCGGAAACTCAGAAAAGTGGTATTGTTCTCTACAAAAAAAAGAAGATAAGTCTTAATATAATAACCACTCGGGGAAGATGATCAACTCGACTCTCCTAGGGTCTAGTAAATAACCGGTGAGTGAAGTAGAGTATAAGTACACCCGAAAAAACAAGGCGGGTTTCAGACATATACACAAATGCATTGGCTTTGTTCGACAGTTTTAAAATACAGAGACTTCAAAACTTTTGGTATTAAGACAAAGTATGCCCTCATCAATAGGGAAGTGTTGTGGAAATGTCTCTGTATATGGATTTCCGAAAATGTTTGTGAAATGGCGCTAGGGCCTACATAGAATTATCAGCAGTGTACTCCAGGTTTGCTTACTCTCACCATTTTGTGTGTGCGCATGTGATTTCAATGCAGATGTGAATGACGTTATTAGACTTGGACGCTGGGTTTTCTATTCCTTTACGTTCTAAGTGGAACATAGGGCTTCAAGCTGGATACTTGAAGTTTCAG